TAATTTATGAAGAAAATCTAGCCAAGTTTTTTTTATCTATCAACTGACAAACACGTTATTTGAGTTAAAGGGAATAGTCTTTTGCATTTATAGCTGTGAGCTCAAATCCAGCAGACATTATGCAATCCGCACAAACCGAAAATGCTATACGCAGTTGTGTGAGTCCTTCTCCCAATCGTGTTAACCGTAAGCGACCGCGACTTGCGGTTCTTTCGAATCCCATGGAGCGACAATTATACCATTTGATAATTCAACAATTACACCATGATGGCTATTTAGCAGCAGCGTCGGCAGTGTCAGATGCGACAGGCACTGTCGTGGCGGATGTGGATCAGAATGGGGAGCGACTTCGGCGGCTAGTGGCTAAAGGACTCAGTACTGAGCTGTCTCAACAGCGTGATATACAATCCTTCTCATTAGAACAGGTTGTGGAGCGATATATTAGTGCTGCTAAAGTCTATGCACCATTACAGCTGTCCCAGAGTTGGTCACTCGGTCGTCGTTGTTTTAAGATGCAGAATCGTTTTACGTCTGCTTCTGTTAGTAGCGTGCTTCGTGATATTTCTTTCTCTCCAGACGGGTCGTTGGTGGCATGTTCAGGAACTAACGGGCTAGCGGCGATCTTTTCTTTGATGACTATCGATGATTTGACTACATTGGATGATCTCAGGGCTTCTAATAATCTTAGAGGCGTTCATGGCAACTGTAAGAATACTAATGGTGTACGCAGCACCAATGAGGTTACAGAGCTTGCGATAGCTCGACGGTTCCGTGACCATGCACAGCACTCCGTTGAGGTCATCCGCTTTCATCCAACACGTCCTTTACTTCTGACAGGTGGCCGAGATGGGGGGATGTGTCTGCGAAGCTATGAGTACCCTGACTCGAGTCTGCAGATCCAAATCCACGATAATTTTCCAGTCCGCGGTTCTGCTTTCCACCCAAGCGGCGAATATGCTGTTGTCGTTACTGACCATCCGGTCCTGCGTCTGATTAACCTTCGCACTGGTAAGGTTCTCAGTCCACCTGTTAGCGTTAGACATCCAGGAGCACCTGGCTCTATATCTACGGCTTCAGAGCGTGTTAATGAGATGTCTGGGACACCTGTAACATCAATTTCACATAGCGCAGGTCTTACATCTGCTGCTTTTTCTCCCGATGGCCGGACTCTTGTAACGACAAGCTTGGATGGCTCTTGGATATTGTACGATGGTGTTAGTGGGCGTGCCCTGCATAAGGCGGATGCGGCCCACAGCGCAGTTCCCGTTACGAGCGCAGAGTATAGTCGCACTGGAAACGTGCTTTTGACAGCTGGCATGGATTCAACCGCGCGGCTATGGGATCTACGCCGTCTCAGCGTTGGTCACACATCGATCGTGATTTCTTCATCGACACGCGGTGCGGCACGGGACAGTACTGAGTTAATGTCCTTTGGTGAACCGGCTAAGTGCAATCATCGAAGTATCCAGGCTGTTTTCTCTCACGATGAAAGCCACATCCTCTGTCAGGATAATACTCTTCTCGTTGTGCAAGGATACTGCGTATATAGCGGGGACAGCTCTTATGCGTTGGCAACCCAGCCATCTTTTATGCAGCGTGCATTGGCATGTAGCCCCTTTTCAAATATGATTGTGACTGGAGCTGATGACTGCAAACTGCGTTTATGGACTCCTTCGTGGCTTCCCTCTTAGTGATCGTTATATATTTAACCTGAGGTGTAAAAATAAAGCACACAATATTTTACTACCATTATATATAGAGAGTCTATGAGGTACTAAGACTCGAGACTACCTATTTTTATTTTGCTCCAAATTATCATTCAATGACTATTTTGGCAACTTAACATCCTTCTTTTTTATTTTTTTAAGCTTAAGTGCAAAGAATAACATAAAGAGATATTATTATTATTATTTTGCATGAAAGGAAGACGCTTCTTATAGCGTTTATTAAATTAGATCTATAATAATCAGCAGAATAATTCGTATCACCATGTTGACAACACTCAGGGCTTTCATTCTGTGTCTTGTGGCAGTGATGCTTTTCTCGATTTATGTGCCTATTCCCGTAGTTTCTAATAGCCTGATTACTCCTGTAAAGTTGTCATCTCTTAATGTCTCAACCTCAGTAAAATACTATACTGAAGGATATGTTTATTGCGGACATGGAGAAGAGGTATGCCCTTCCTCTGTACCCATTTGCTGTGGTTCGGGATCTAGCTATTACTGTGTGCCCGCTGGTAGCTCTTGTTGTGGTGTTACTGGCACATCAACAAGCTGTGAAACAGGCGAGCAGTGTTGCTCTAGCACCTACTACAACAGTATTTGTTGTACAAAAGGTACAAATTGTTATGTGAACCGAATGGAAATTCCATCATGTCGGTCTGATGAGTGTTCGTTGTATACAACTGTGGATGAGTGCCTCAATAAAAAGAATTCTAAATGTGGTTGGTGCTGTGAGGAACATCGATGCGTTCCACAATCAAATGACAGCTGCCCTACCGCACCAATTACTGGAAATCAACATTGTCCTTCTCGTTGCCATCATGCAAATACATGTGCGTTATGCCTGGATTCCAAACACGCACTCCTGAGCAATAAACCTCTCTCCTACATCGACTCTGGTGTAGATCTTCAATTATCTCGACAAGATGGAGTAGGTTATATGAGTGATGATGAGAAGTGCGTATGGTGTTGTGCAACTATGTCGTGTGTACCAATTAAAAATATAGGGATGTGTGCTAATGAGCAATTTCTCACTGATCCCGGCCGTTGTGCCGCTTGTATGCACAATGGTGGCGGAGTACAAGAAGGAATAGATGATATGCTTGCGATTTATACCCTTCTTGGCTCAATCCTTTTTATTGTTGGGATCGTTTGTTTTATGAGCTGCATTCGTGTAGCAGTGGAAGTCATTTTAGAACAGCGAAACGAGGAGCAGTCCACAAATGTGCAAGATAAAATTCGGCGTTATGGATTTAAAATAAGTGATGCTATGCCCAGCAATCCTTTGGTCCGAAGATTTCGTCGCATGTTAACTGAAGCAGGGAACACTAGTGGCACAAGTCTTTTCACGAAAGAACAAGATGCCGCGTCTGATGATGTAGTAAGGTGTCATCGTTGCAATCAGCACATTCACTTAAAAATATTGAAAAGTCATTTAATGCCCCCTTCATCACAGTCACTTCCGTTAAATTCCTATTGTGCTTCCCAGGAGCTCCCAAAACTTACCAAGGCAGCGCTTGCGGAGAATATTACTGTTACTTCAGATGATTATCCGACTTCCTCTGATGATCCAGCTGTCATTTTGTTACCTTGCAACCATCGCGTGTGTTACGCATGTTTGGGTATCTCAGCAGAATTCTTGAAGGGACATACCGATCAGTCACCATCCGGAAACCCAACAAATGACCCATCGATGTCACCGACCATGATATCATTTGTGCCTCAGGCGACGGAGGACGGCGCCCCCACTTCCACTCTCTTGCAAGAAGTCCCAACTGAGACAGCCGAGGGTGACACTAGCATGCAAGCACAGACAAACACGTCTGAGGTGAATAGTACCGCAGGCTTGGAGGTATCTCAGGTACCGGTATGCCCCCTCAAACAGACTGCACCGATCAACGATCAGACCGAATCTACCCTTGAGGAGACCATTGCCAGATGTTTTAGTAAAGGCAAATGCACTATATGTGGTCAGAAGATATCAGAATATTTATTAACATCCAAAGTTCGGTTGATTTAGATATATAGGCCTACTCTAAAAGAATTTT